CACATCCGTCAGGACACTTTGATCATCTGCGTCGTCACAGTTCGCTCCAAACAAAGGTGGATCGTGCATTTGGGTTACACAAAATCCCGAAGAGGTGTGCTCCACGTTCAAGAAGCCAGACTCTCGGCAAACCTGGCTCCACCCATTCTGTTTGATGAAGCCGGAGAATTCACCGTAGCTCGTGCACGCAGTATAGTTCCTGGCTTGGCCCTTCTCTATAACCAGGCTCCTAAGACCGTTGCTGGTGGTGGCGGTACTTGGCTTCATGCTCTTTGCTCGCAAGCACTGCTTTGAACCTGAGGCACTGGAGGCTGGCATGATCTTGCCACCAGAGACCACGAAGTTGAATTCAGGACCAGGAGTGGTCTGTTTTGCGGCGATCAAGCGCAGCTGATGATCATCCTCGATGGTCTGCAAGTAGTAGGTCGTCTTCAGATCCCCAAGATGAAAATATGCTATGTGAGCTCCTCTCCAAAGGAAAGTTGATCGGCACTCAGATGACATTTGCATCATGTACCCCTGGCCCAATTTCATCGTCAAGTCGGCATGGAGGCAGAGTTTGGCATTGACAGGAGGGTAATCGATGTATATCTGGAACAAGCCTCCCACGTCAAAAAGAATGGGTCCAACTGTCTCAAGTGACCCTGCTAGCCTTTCCTCTAGCCTAATGATAGCATCATATCCAACGGTTAAACCTAAAATACTTTCAGCTAATCAAACCATACTTCAGCCCAGCGCTTGGCCTTCGCCTTCGCTTCGAGTCTCCTTGAAGGCCAAATTCCCCAAGCGCAAGGGCGGCGTCTCAGCCGCCGTCTCAACGGTGGCTGTCCAAAGCATCTGCGCGGTGTTGCTCAGATCAAAGCCGAAAAAACCTAGCAAATCACAGACATAGCCAAAGGCAAAAATGATGTCGGTCCTCATGAGACCTCCCACCTCATGGGTCTAGTTTTTTTCTTTCTACAATGGTTTTAAGTTGTGGGTCTCCCTCAGATCCGTTTCTGGAATCAAAGCGTACCGCGTACCTTTGTACCTTCATGTTGGGATGACAACAGAATGAAACCAAATGCAGAAACTTCTGAACCAGTAGGGTGCCTGGTCTTTCAGCTATTCACGGTCTCGCCTTTCTAAAACCGAGCACTTGAACGCAAAGTAACCAACAACAAAAACAAGAAAAATCACAGACTCTGCCAAAGAGCAATTCCCAGACTTGAAGTACCAAATAAACCTCGGCTGAAGAGCGAAGGATGAAACACAAAACACCATTTGCGCCCAAACCTGAAGTGCATTTTTTTGATGTGGGCTGGGCTGGCTTCGTAGGCCCCAGTGACTTGTCTATAATGTAGAAAAACGGGGGCTGCCCCCACCCACGGACAGCAGCCATTCCTTTTCTGTCCGCCTTGCTTGGATATGTCTGTGCCCGCAAACAACTGGTCAGCCCAAAGTGTGTTAGCAGCTCTAGGCATGAGTGTTTTTGTGATTTCCAGCGAAGTTGCAAATTTTTAACTTGGAGGGGCTGATGGTCGGAAATTTTCATTCGTGTCTTGCACGTGAGGCCCCTTGCTTCAGCGCCACCGTCCAAAGCTCCGCTTTTCTGCTGAACTTTGCGCTTTGCTGCTTTGCTCAAACAAATCAGGAAAAAGACTAGCGCACGCGTCCTTTGTCGCCTCTGCAACCATAGAGGCTGACACTCGACCTGTTCATGTTGCGCTGGCACAGCAAGACTTCGTCGCTTCAAGTACAGTGCTCGGGCTTTCTGAGTCGAGGGGATCACACGTGGGTCTGGAAGTTTCTACATACTTTGGACTCGGTTCTGGTGAAGAGCGAGTTGTTCACTATCTACTTCTTTCTATTTCCTATTTTGGGGAGGCTTTCTTGCGTGGGTCATCCAAGCGTTCCTGGCGTGACCGAGCGTCCGGTCCGGTGGCTTCAGGTTGTTTCCATGAACGCAAAACTCGGCGATTTTGGTTCAAGTACTCACCTTTAAGAAACAAAAATGCACAAAAACAGATATATCTGATATATCTGTTATTCAAGCCAAACAATGCTAATGATGCAGCTAGCCGCGGGCGGCATCATTCAAACCACGGTTGCCGTTGCCAGTTTTGTTTTATTCATGGTTACTCACGGGCTTCTTGGTGTTTTACTCCCAAGCGTGGGCCATGTTGTCGGGTGACCCCTTGGAGAGTTTGTTCTCCTCACGTGGAGTTTGAGATGGAGGTGCAAGCCACTTGTTGGCAGAGGGCTGGACACTGCCCACCTTCGCTTGTAGCGCCGCCTCATCTAAGAACCTTGACACAGTTCTTCTCTTGATGCGGGTTCGCCGAGCCTCCAAAGAGGCCCAAGCTGATTCCTCTTGCACCATGACCGTGGAACAGTCCGGGAGCTGGCTGGAGACTTTTGCTCCTAAGTTGGAAGACCGCCGCAGGAGCCGAAGCTGACCTCAGTTCCCTGGCCAGATCAAGCGCCAAGGGCCAGGATGACATGCGTGCGTGGTCCCTGCCTGAGCCTAGATTTCTGAGCGACAAAAGCTGTATGCAAGTGATAAGGAACATATCTACAACTTTTTCGAGTGCTCGTTTTCAAGACTGTCCTCCAATGGCATCATGCAAAAGAGCGTCCTACAAGTCTCCCACAACAGCGTCCTGTAAGAGTGTCAGTGTCTAGCAAGAGTGTCCCACCCACCAGAGTGCACAAAAGAGTGTCCGGAATCCAGCAAAAGTGGTGTGTGTGTGTCCTACATGTGTGTTCCACATGTGAGTGTGGTACAACGTGTCCTTTTTGAAGAGTGTCGCACCAGAGTGTCCAGCAAGTGCAACAAAAGTGTCGCACCAGAGTGTCACCCCAGAATGTCCTTCAAGAGTGTTAAGCAAGAGTGTCAAACAACGTTTGGCCGTTTGTATCTGCATACGTGCATGCATTCGGGTTCGTGGGCTCCATCTTGTTCTGAATCCGTGATCTGCCAATGGAAGAAAACAATACCTTCATAAACTGCTGATACCATTAGATGGGAACATTCATACTCCAATCTTACCAGGACTCACTATGGCATTACAGACACCAACCACTCGCAAATGGTGAGACTTCTGCTAACGGGTGCAACAAGTACAACAGGTTGTGACACCTCGTTCTCCGAACCTGTCTGGCGGTTCCACGGCGTTGCTTAACATCTAGTTGACCCCATGTTGACTCCTGAAACCGGGCCAAGCAGCTTCAGATCCCGGCCGTTTGGGCAAGTCGCCACTGCCAATGTCTTGTCAGCTTGGAGGCATTTTGTGCCGCTGGATGCTCGAATAACACCCTGCTCGAAGAGCCAGAAGTCTTTCTTCTGGAACGACGCATCACACAAACAGGCTTGCAAAGCATGGCCATCGTCACAAATACACCACTCCTTGTTTGGATCAAGCACATTATATCTCACTCGTAGGTGGCCAGATGTTGAATCAATCCACCACAACGATTCAGGCTCAAGCACCTCCAGTTGGAGGTGTTGATCCTGCGAAGGACAGCGTCTCGTGTTTGAAGGCTCGGCGTTCATAAATGACTGAATTGACCAAACCCATGCTGATTGCCTGTTGTAATGATGACATGTTACCTTGCCCTAGGAAAATCAATGCGTCAGAACTATGGAACTAGAAAAAAAAAACTACCCAGTGGCTTGCTTGGTCCTTTAACTCCTATTGTCACTAGGACAAGTTTATAGAGCTTTTAGAGCTTTGAAGAGTCGTTACAAAAACGGACGATCTCTGGTTCTTACAGTTTGCGATCTGTGAAAACTCGCAACTGCTCAAGTGAGCAACGTTCCCTCTCAGAGTGAGATGTGTTTAAAAAGGTTGCCCGCATGGCGCTGGTTGGCGTAGGTCCTAAGGTGCTGTCAGGCAAAAGTTCACCGAAAACACGGAATGGAGACAAAGAAATGCAATCTGGCCTGTACGACGGATGAGAAGTTTTGAACTGTATGGCGCCAAACCTCTCCACAGAGGTCACAATCGATGTAAAAAGAAACGCGACAAGTCTCAGACTGCGATGTAGACAGTTTTGCGACAGACTGCACACTTGGCCGCGTATTGTGCAAACTTGCTGCTAAGTTTAGCTGGTTTCGGTCTTGCACTCAGACGGGACCAGAGGTATCTATTCCTGTGTTGCACTGAATCCCAGAGCCACATGAATGTCCTTTGCCACGTCGAGGAACATTTGGGTCTCTGTGGCCACCAATGGAGAGGCTGTTTTTGCGCTGGCACGAGTGCAGCCATTGATGGAGAAGGGGTAGGTCACATGCACCACCCTGGGCGACCGCGTCTGGTTTTTGGAGCTAGGCATTCTGACAGATTTGATTCAACTGGAAAATGCACGTTTCTTCGCAACAGGATACATTCCTATTTCCCAAATGTTCGGTTGCCTGCGCTCCAAGAAGTAAATCTCCGGCATCGAGACCAAAGACAAACGCTGAAGGTTGGCGTCTCCAACTTGAATACATCTTTGGCACCTGAGAAACACCATCAAACTCCAAAAGTAACAAAAGCAGCTCAGCTGCTGCACAAACCCTGCGAACTTTTAATGAACTCAGCTTCCCGCGTAAAATTGGACAAATACTGCCAAGGACCCTGTTCGCCAATCCACTCACCGCTCACACACGTAAAGGCCGAATCACTTTCACGAGGGCCTTCCCATTGAAGTCCATGTTGCAGTCTGGCAAACATCCTGGAGGTGTCGTTGCATCCCACGGAGATCTGCGAAGCAGGAGGAAAGATCTCAGGAAGAGGAATCTTACTCATGCCAACTGCAGCAAATGAGCGTCCATCAGGGCTTGTAGTGTCGATGTACTGGCAGCGCATGCAAGGGCCATCTTCCTTTCCAAGAATAAGTTGCAAGGTATCACAAGCCTCAAACTGCTTTTGGAACAGGCAAGGCGGTAGGTTTGAAGGTGCAAAACTCAACATGCTTCGGCGCTTGATTTCTTGCCAGCATTTTCGCGGGTTAGCAATGTGACAATAAGATCCCTCCTGAGGGACCATTCCATACAACTCGTTCACAACCTGTAGGCCCACATCTTGTACGTAGTTGCAACTTTTGAGCAAAGTGCAAATCTCTGAGGTCTTTCCGAACAAGTAGAACTGGCATTCTGGTTTGGCGGAGCATGCCTTCTGACAGCTTGCCAAGTCGATGTGGGAGAACTGTCCCAATGAGGCCTAAGTGCAACCTACCAGACAACCTTACCCCCCACACAGAACAGCAAACGAAATGCTTGCTCTTCAAACAGCTGAACTCACTTGACTTGTGACACAAACCACTTGAACAGTCACAGACTTTCAGTAGCCTCCAACATATATATATATATACATAATAGTGATGGCCTCCAACCTAACATAGCGATGGCCGGCAACCTAAAAGCGATGGCCTCCAACCTAAAAGCGATGGCCTCCAACCTAGTAGCGATGATGTTAGGCAGCTCGCATCTTTGTGCCGAAAGCGCTCACGAGTATGTATGTGTACCTGTACATGAGCAAACCTTATATCTAACAAGACTACATGTAAAAGTGAAAATTCCTAACACGCCGCCTCAAAATGCGACGTCCAAGTCGTCTTTTTGTGACTTGGTTCTTTGGTTTGCTCTGCTGGGTATCGCTTCTGCTAAGCGACCAAAGATTAAGTTCCCCCAGCCTTCTTCTTTGTACATAACCCATATGTACTGTTCCGGCAAGAATTTCATGCCATTCCCACAAAACTTGTTTGTAAATTCACCTTAGTATCAGGTGGTTCAGCTGTTGCACCTGTACTTTTCGTTGTGCACAATACGTGGTTCAGATGTTGCACGTATTGTTTCGTGGGTATCATACCAACCATGCAAATTGTATTGAATTGTAAACTCAATGCTGAAACTTTGAATTGCTTTGTCCACTGAAATCAATTGTCCGTAGATCCTCGAGGTCTCTGCTCTTCATCACTTTCAGTTCCTGAAGGTAGATAGTGAAGACCTACCCACATGTCCGGATCAGAAACTTCGCTCATCGTAGACCTCAAGTACCTTGCTATTCTTGTATCTTCACTTTCGCCACTCGACTCTTCAACATCTTCTTCTTCTCCGTCTTCATGGTTTGAATTGTCTCTATCTGGTCTTGCTATTGCTTGCGCCGCCTCACTTGCACTCCCAGTACTGCGTCCAGGAACTCGATCTGGTCGAAAATAGCCATCACTTTCCTCCATCCTTTCGAACAACTCTGCAACTCTCTCACTTGGTTCAGCTCCTGGTTCTGGAAGTTCAGGAATGTCTGGACCTCTAGGGCTCTCTCCATCGACCGACAAGTCTGTCATCGACCGACAGAAATGGTGTGCTCTCAATCTTGCAATCTCTCCAGGGTTCGCCTCAAGGATAACAATGTCGACCTCAAAATCTCTCTCCTCTTCCAATACTTCTTCTTTTCCTCCTCCGACATTCTTCCAGCTCTCCTCTCTATTCGTCTCTCCACTCGCCCCAGCATCCAGTAAGTGAACCACTCTGGAGACCATGGTTCCCATTTCCCAGGTGGTTCTAGGGGCATTGGCGGAAACAAAGGAGGTTGAGGCTCTATCTCTGCTGCTGGTCGTCCAGGTCCATCTGAACTGCTGGCACCTGGTTCGATATTGTCGTTGCCAACCACCACTCTTCTTGTTGTCTCTGGTTCAGGCTCCTCCTCGTCTCTCTCATCGTGCCGTCTCTTTCTTCCTCGTGGTCCAAATCTGGCCACCAGCGCATGCCAATTGTTGTGAACCCAATTGCACAATGCTACAAGAACCAACACCAACAATGTCAAATAAAACTGTTGACTGTTGTCCTGTTCGACAACCTCGTCGGAACTGTGCTCCATACATCCCTTCAGGTTCATTGCTTGCATCATCATGACACACTGTGCAAATAACCGGCTAGATTTGTTCTTCGTCCACCTCGTCACTTGCCTCACTTGATTCTTCCATTGCTGCTCCATGAAATATGTTGTCTGCTCTTCTTCTCCAATCCTTTCCAAAATCGTGTTGTCCTCACTGATTCGGATTGCACCCATGAAAGAAAGTAAAAATTTCCTTCGCATCGCTGTCAGCTTCTTTGTGTTCAAATCAGCAATATTTGTTTGGGTCGGTACTGGCAATGCTTTCACAACCTTGGATCGTATCGCATCCTGCAACCAGCAAAGTCTGACATCAATATGCTTCAGTCGACCTATGCCTGACCTCTGCAACCATTGACGCCCGCTTGAGGAATCACTTCGGGCTTCCAGTGAAATGCTGTGCCTTTTCCCAACCATGAATTGCCATACTTCTTTCAACAACATGGCTTCGCTTGATCCTGATGTCAACGAAAGAACTTCAGCCTCACATGAACTCAAAGCGACTGCTTTCTGTGTTCGACTGTAGGAAAGTACAACCAGGCTGTTCAATAGAACCACAACTGATGTTGTTGATTTTCGGTATAGACTACCGGCCCAGTCACTGTCGCAGAAAATTTCCATGAGGTGTTCTGTATCTTCCAACTCATCTTGCGGTGCGTTGTTGAGGATCTTGGCCATACTTGTTCCAACTTGTGTATATGGTAACCAAAATGACATGTTCTTGGTACCTTTGAGGTACAGAATCAACTGCTGCAAACATCTCTCTGCTTGTTCTGTTGGACTTCGCATCGACGATGCTAATGACTTCACACAATACTGAATGTCCAACCTGTCTTGAGACAAATACATTGCAATCCCTAATCCGCTGCGGAACGTGGCTTGTCCACCAGGGTCTAACTCTGGAGAAGTGTCTGGATGTCCCAGAAGACAATGCTCCGGCACTTGTTTTTCTTTCTTGCTGCCACCATCATACAACCTCAGCAGCTTGTCGATGTATCGAGAACCGGATTTGATACAAACACCGCCTTCCAAGAAAACATACGTCTTTTTCAAATAGTTCAGTTCCTCTCCATCTCCAAGCATACCCCGTGGTACAGGGCCTTCAACCTGTAGCTTGTAAATCTTCTTCAACTCAGCAATGACCCACATTAGATCAGCCTCGTTCTCACTCGCAATCAGTTCATCATCGACATGTACATTGATTGCAATTTGCTTTGTAGCGTGTTTCAACACTGAAGGCATTGCAACGCAACATTTGAATCCCAACCGTTGCAAATGATGGGTGAAATCTTGGAACCAACGCTGTGCTCCATTCCGCTGACCTGGAAGTACCTTCTGCAACTGCCACAATGCATTCTGCTGCAAGCCCAACAATTGCTTGATCCAACCTGAAATCTTGACATAGCAGGTTTCTTGTTGTTCAACTGTAAGATAAGCATCACTGATGTCGAGGCTTGCAAGCTTCCACCCATAGAACAAATGCAACATGAGGAAAAATCTCACAACTGCAAATGAACTTGTTGGAGAAAACGTCTCATCTGTAGAAGGTCCAGTCTTGAACTCTCGAGCGACTATCCTGCAACGCCGCTTCCATTGACCTTCTCTGTGCCTCCAATCAAACACTTCTTTCAAATCGACAAACTTTCCATCCTCCGACATCTCATGCTCCAAAATCACCTTCACCACTCCAAGATTCGTCAGCTTTTCAACTTCGGTCTTCATGGCCTCTCCATCCAAATAAGCCAACTCTTCTGGTGAAATCTCCGGAGGTTTGTCTGCAGAAAAATCTTGCTCATCAAGACCTTCCATCTCCAATTCCAATGCTCCCCAATCTACGTCCTTTTCCCATTCGATGTCTCCATGGGGGCGATCCACCTCCTCAACTTGTCCTGCGTAGAAAGGTGCATATAGTCCAGCAGACGAAGGACTTCCCTCTCGATCTAGTCTTGCAGCTTTGGAATCTCTCTGTTCATCTGACCTGTCCATCTCTCTCTTCTCTCCTGCCTGTTCTAGCTCCATCGAAGTCTCTCCTGGCGGAGTCGAAGGAATAACTGGAATATCCAACAATGTTTTCCTCTGCATGTTCGACAATCTCTCCAAAGGTTCTGACGGTTCTGCCATAACTGGTTGTTCTTCCTGTCGAGGACTGTTCACTTCAGTGGGTTCGTACGACTCAGCATGTTCAGCCACCTCTTCTGCTTCCTCATCAATTCCTCCTGTTCCAAGCCTAAAAGGCTCTCTAGGGTCTGGTCCTTCACCTTTCTCCTCGATCACTGGCAACGGTGCTTCCATCAACCCAATCGGCCCTGAGGCCTTATGCTTTGACCAAGGAGACATCGTCAATGCTTGTACAACATCAGGCCTCCATGGATTTGAGCATCGACGAATGGATCTTGTATGGAACTGACCTCCAGGGGTGATGATCACATTCATGTCGGCATTGTCCTTGCCAACCCAGATTCCCCCAAGCCATATGCTCGAACCTTTCTGCTTCACCGGCTGTCTCAGACCAAACACAAACTCACCAAACGGAAGCAAACGACCATTGTATTTCTTTCCATGAACCATTTCAAATGCTGTTGCTTTGATTGCTGCATGCTCATGGAATCTGTTCAAGAGAAAAACGCTATGTGTCAAGGCCCATGCTCGAAGACAATGAAGATCGTCTAGCTGTTCTCGAATGCCTTCTTCAACACCGGCCACCAGTGTGGCTGCTTGGCGCCTAACCGTTTGTATGTATCTCTCGACACGAGCTGTTCTTCCCTTATGGTAGGGCTTTCCAACTTTCTTGGTCGATTTGTAGCCCATCTCTTGTCTGATCATGATGATCATGTCGAGAAGCCCCAATGTTGCTGGTTCTGAATCCATCACAAAAACAACATTGTCGAGATAGTTGAGCTCGAGCGAAAACTTCACACAAAACTCAGCTACTGCTCTCCAAGCTCCTTTGGTCCGAGTGGGCAAGATAGCCCCGAACCTTGTAGCAGCATCCACCAACACTAAAGCTGGACAACTCCTTCCCAAATACATCCAGTCCATCTGGATATGAGGATCTGCCAACTGCTCTGTCTCCAAGTCTGCACTCTGCAATGTTCGATCCTCACGTGACTTTGTTTTCACGCATACATCACACCAGGCTGCAAAAGGGAGATGCG